GCGTGTGTGTGTGTGCCTGTCTGGCTGGCTGGCTGGCTGTCCGGTGAGTGTGACGGGTTGGTGTGCAGGCAGCTGCGGCTGCTGCGGTCGGTAAACAAACCCACCCCTGCGGCTACGACCTGCCCCGCCTGGCCCGCTCTGGTCTCCCCCGTGGGGCGCCCCGCCCCCCTCTGCTCGGCACCTCACTACATTTATGCTGAATCTAAACCGTCTGTTGGCCCGCGAAAACTCACGCATAAAGCCCTCCCCTTCCCTGGCCCACCCAATTCGCGCTCATTTACTCTCACACGAGCCGTTTACCGGCGCCGGGGAGAGGCGAAAAGTGGCCCTCTGGGAGCGGCTGGGGGCCGATCAGCGAGCACCCGAGCCGCACACAGCAGCTTTATTCCCAGCCCGATCTTTTGTGTTTTTATTTGCATTCATCTGACTGCCAAAGCCGACCAAATCAACATGGCAGATTGGCTGCCTGAGCGGCGGCTGCCTGTCCGGCTGGGCGCCGCGCCTGGCCCTGCCTGCCTGCCAGCTCGACGGCCCGGCCTGGCTTTTGTTTGCGCCCAATAATAGCCCAGACGCTCTTCGCTTTGGCCCGGCCCAGCCCGCGCAACGTGCGGCATATTCGCACCTCCTCTCCTCCTTCCCATACAGCTCCGCTATATATGGCGGCGCCGACGCCAAGCTGGCCATGGAGCCGTAGTGCCACCCTGCCACCCGCCTCCACGGCCCCAGGGGACTTGGATGTTACAGATATTGTCCCCGTCTTCGAGATTGGATATCGGTTTGAAGAGGGAGAGCTGTCTGTACCCTCCGGGGTTTGTCTTTTCTGCCTCCAATAAGGAGGACACACACTCGGTACACTCACTCGGTCTCGTTGTTCTCGAAGATGAGTTCGCCGTTGAGCTGCTCGTACTCCTTGCCCGCCCGCGCGGTGCCGTCGGTGGTGCGGTACGGCACGAGGATGCGGCCCCGCGACCCGCTGAAGCGCTTCACCTTCAGTTCGTACGAGCCCACCGACTCCGCCATCTCGACCTCCTTCTCCACGAATCCGAACACGCCGCAGTGGTCGTCGTCCAGGATCATGACGGTGGCCGTGGACGGGCTGACGAGCTCGGGCGCAGCGTGCATCCGGTTCCCGCCAAGGTTGTTCCGAATGTCGTTGGACTCGCTGTCGTCGCTGGGGCCGAGGCGGAGGTTGGACAGCCGTATGTAGAAGTGTTCGTCCTCCTCGAACTCATCGTCGTCGATCACGTTTATCGAGAACTTCTTGATGGTCTCGCCCTCGTTGAAGCGCAGCGTACCCTGCGCGCCGGTGTAGTCGCAGCCCGCGTGCGCAGTGCCGTCCTCGGTGCGGTAGTCCACGAGCAGCGTGGGCACCAGGTCGCCCTCGCGCACCACGCTCACCTCGAACTCGCCGATGCTCTCCGGCACGGTGTAGTGGCTGGGCTTGAAGAAGACGCGGGCGTGCTGGTGCTCGGGTCTGGCGGGTGCGGGGCCGCTGGGGTCCATCTCGGAAGGGTGCACGCCCTTGAAGCGGCGCATCACATCCGAGCCGCCCAGCATCTTGCGCGTCGCCTGCACGCGGTAGAAGGCCCTGCTCTTGGAGCCGCGCGTCAGCACCTCCTCCTGCGCCATCTGCTCCAGGGCGCGCAGCTCCAGGGTCGGGTGCCGCTTTCGCAGCTCCCGCAGGCAGGCGATGTACTCGCGCCGGTTCTGCTCGAACGCCTTGGCCTCGTCGCCCTCCACCTCGTCCTCCAGGTCCACCATCTGGCCGTCGATCTGTTGCTTCTCCATCTCAACGTCTCCAGTCTCGGCCTGTACCATGACGCCGCGCTGGTTGAGGCGGTAGCCCTTGTGCAGGTACTTGTAGAACAGCAGGCGCCTATCGGCGATGTAGGCTGTGCCGACGGTCAGTGGGAAGAAGAGGAAGGTGAGGAGGGCCTCCCACACTTCCACCTCGCCCTTGGACGAAACGGACAGGATGACGTACAGCCACACGTACGCGAACACGGACCAGATGGCGGTCACGAAGAACACGCGCAGGTGCTTGATCTTACGCACCTCGCCGTCCGGGATGACAAACACACATATGGCGATAATGACGTAGAGGTTGTAGGCGGCAGAGCCGACGATGGTACCCGGACCTAGATCACCTGCCTCAAAGTTCTTGGCCCAGATCTCAATGATGGAGAGCAGGATTTCGGGCGCCGAGGAACCGAGGGCCATGAGTGTGAGGTTGGCCACCGTCTCGTTCCACACGCGAACCACGACAACCTTGCTTTCCTTCCCCTTTTGCTTGACAATGACCTCCTTCTCCTGAGAGGTGATGACCTCGATGGCCGCCATGAAGCGATCCGAGATGATGGACACGCCTAGAAAGAGGTAGAGCAGCGCGCACAGGTAGGCGAAGCCCCTGGCAACGCGGTCGCCCACGCTCAGCCCCTCGTCCGGCAGCCACACGGGCAGCAGCAGCCCGGGCTGGCACTTGATCCATTCTTTGCTCGCGCCACCGCCGTGCTCCGGGTAAGAGGACCCGTTGTAGTAGGAGGGCGACGACGCGTTGGACGCCTCCGCGGCCTGGCCCGTCAGGAGCACGGCCAGCACGCACGCACACGCGCACGCGCCGGCTGCCATCTCGGCACCACCAGCCAGACCACGTGGCCGGCGCGGCTCGTCTCGTCCTGCCTCGGGGCGGGGCGGGCGGGGCGGGC